TAACAAAATAATAATATTTTCTGAACTAAAAAAATAGTATTTTTCCGAGAAAAAGAGGCTAATAGTTTCCTGGATTTGAAGCCCAAAAATGCGCACGATTAGAGCTGAAAAAGAAAGTACACTTAGTGAGCTCACGGGCTAGTGCCGTTACAATAACGACCAAAAAGAATGGGTATATTAAATGGGCTCAAACATTGAGTTACTCTATTTAGTATTTACATAGAAGATGGAAATTGGGCTTCTATGTAGGACTGAAAAAACGAAATGGATCTATTGACTTTCGGCCCACAAATACATGTGGAAGGCTGGAAGCTGAAGGTAGTTTTAAGCATTGAAGCCCATTCGCCGTTCTAGAATGTTGCATCACTTCAAATTTCATAATGTAATTACCATTTGATCTTGAAGTGGCACAAATAGTGTGCTTGCTGTTTCAGGTTTGTTTTGGGGCCATTGTGGTCCTTTTACCCTCAACCCTCTGTCCCAAACACCCATCTTCCGTACTTAAAATCACCATTTTACCCTTCCATTTCCTTCCGTAAATTCCCTCCGGCATTAGGTAGTGAGGGGCAAAATGGTTATTTAATTATTAAGCTATTCTTTCTTCTTTTCTTTGGCTGGCATTTAGGAGGTTGTGTTTCAAAGTTTGCCCTTTTCTGCTTTACACTGGTCCTTGCTCCCTTCACCTGTTACTCATCCACTCTTTTCTTCTGTCCTTTTCTCTACTGTTATGAAAAGAATATACTAGCTTTTTTTTTTTAATAGTTTACGATTCAAGGGAGAAAGATTTATCTAAAGTATTGATGGGGATTGAAACCTAATCAACTAATTCAAATATTTTAAGAATGGGAGGTGAATCATTAATACCAAAGTCTAATTCAAAATATACTAATTATTATTTGTTATCATTTCATTTTGATTTTTGTACTTGTTGAAATTAGTAGGCAATTCATTTTACCCCTTTTTTTATTGTTTTTTATTTTTAATTAAGGTTAATGCCAACTATCATCCCTCTACTATAAAAAATAATTCAATTTAAACCTTCTACTTTCAATTTACCTCATGTCCTCCCTCTACTATTAATTAACTACTCATGTCCTCCCCTACTATTGAAAAAGGTATCAAAGTCGTCCCTCCGTCCAAGCTCCGTCCAATTTTGGGGTGACGGACACTTTACTTAGCAGTTAACGTTAACCCACCACACATTCAACCCTCTTTTTTTTTAATCAGTCCGACTTTGATGGGACCCATCGGCGCCACATCAGATCTCTCCTTTAAAATCAGTGGCCGGCATTGTGCAAGCATCAGAAACCCCAAATTTCCTTCTTCTCTTTGAACTCTTACAAATTCCATGTAATCGATTTTGAAATCGGCAAAGGATTGCAGTACAGAAATTTTCTTTATGCGCTCTCCAAGTGTTGGAGCTGAAAGCCGGTAATGGTGCAAATCATCGTCGTCGCTGATAATGGTGGCAATGAGCAGTTTGAGATTAGTTGGTGGAGGAGTTGAGTCTACTTGGTGAGAGAATTGGGGTTTCCTTGAAGTTCAAGGTCATGGTGTGTTCGAAACTCAGCGATATATCTCGGGAGTCACTCAGTTGCAAACTGGACGAGACACTCGCTGTGAATTTCGTATTCAAGTTTCACTGAATGCCAGATGAGAGTCTGTCAATTGAAAATCCCAGAGACGACCTTCTCCGGCGAGTGAAAGTCCTAGCCCAGCGGGTAGTCTCATTGGTAGAGCAAGAAATAAACACCAATACTGCGTCGTTTGTGGCATGGGTGGGCGAAGCAACCGCGTACTACGCTGCGCTGCCCAAGTCAATCGACTTGATCATGGCGAGAGAATAATCGGAGAGAGCAAAAAGTAGAGGAGGTAGTGAGTTGCAAAATCGCGAACTTGGTTGCGTGCGAAGATATGGGCCATATTGAAAGAGGCGAGGTGTTCGGGAAGTGGCGAGCTTGGATGGGCATGGCTGGTTCAAGTTAAAGCCACTGCATCAAAATGAGGCCGAGTCAATGTGAAGCGGACTCAGCTCCGGCAACCATGAAAATCCAGGTTTCACCGTCAAAAGATGGGTTAAACCCTCACCATCGCATTTGCTTAGCATTAATTGCACTTTTACTCTCAAAATATTGTCATTAATTAATTGCTACGTTTTGTTTCGTAGGGTTTTTATAAAATTAGATAGGGAAAGCAAGAAAAAAGGAAAATTCCACCGAAACCAAATAACAAAATAATATTTT